TGAAACTTTACTTTAAGAGCAACGCTGGAGCTGAGCATAAAAAAAAAAAAGATGGCCAGTGCAAATTTCTTCGCATAAAAAACATATTTACAATTTTGATGGACAGGCACCACGGCTCTTCGGGAATTAATTATTGCATCTGATCGCTGCTGGGCACTGTGCTTAGAGGGCAGCGATTTGTCAAGTACAACCACACCTTTTTAGGCACACTTGCCTTGAAATCAGCCTTAGAAAGCTGGGACGTCTACGACACAAAACGGGTTTAAGAACTATACGTAGTTAAAAAAGTATTTTACAATAGTGTGGAATATTCTGCCAGCTGAGCAGAAAAACCCAGAGGGGTGTGTGGGTGGGTAGGTAGGTAGATAGATAGACGATAGAGATAGATAGATAGATAGATAGATAGATAGATAGATAGATAGATAGATAGATAGATAGATAGATAGACCGATGAGAGAGAGAGAGAGATCATGGATGGATATAGATAGACAATATAGAGATAGATAGATAGATAGATAGATAGATAGATAGATAGATAGATAGATAGATAGACAGACAGACAGACAGACAGAGATAGATAGATAGATAGATAGATAGATAGATAGATAGATAGATGGATAGATAGAGATAGACGATAGAGATAGACATAGATAGAGATACAGACAGAAAGATAGATGATGAATGGATATAGACTAACAGAGATATAGAGATAGATAGATAGATAGATGATAGATAGATAGATATAGACCGATGAGAGAGAGAGAGAGAATGGATGGATATAGATAGACGATATAGACATAGATAGATAGACGATAGAGATAGACATAGACAGACAGAAAGAGATGATGAATGGATAGATATAGACCAATAGAGATATAGAGATAGATAGATGATAGATAGATAGATAGATAGATAGATAGATAGATAGATAGATAGATAGATAGATTAGATCAGCGGTTCTCAACCTTTCTAATGCCGCGACCCCATAATACAGTTCCCCATGTTGTGGTGACCCCCAACCACTTATACATCACCGGGTGCCAGGGGCGTGGCCAAAGAAAAGGGGGGAAAAATGGCGGACAGCCTTGTTTGGTGACCCCCGTGAAATGGTCGTTCGGCCCCAAATGGGGTCCCGACCCACAGGTTGAGAACCACTGGATTAGATAGATAATGGATGTAGATAGACGATATAGACAAAGATAGTAGATAGATAGATAGATAGATAGATAGATAGATAGATAGATAGATAGATAGACCGATTAGAGAGAGAAAGAGAGACTGATTAAAGAGAAAGATAGACCAATTAGATGGATAGATAGATAGACAGATAGATAGATAGATAGATAGACAGACAGACAGACAGACACACAGATAATGGATGGATATAGATAGACCGATAGAGATAGACAGATGGATGGATGAATGGACAGAAGACAGATATTGAGAAAGAGACAAATGATGGATGGATAGATAGATGGAGAATTGTGATAGAGACAGATGAGATGGATGGATGGATGGATGATAGATAGATAGACAGACAGACAGACAGACAGACAGACAGATAGATATATATATATAGATAGAGCAATGGGGGGGAAAGAGATGACGGATAGATGGATGGAGAGAGTTGTGATAGATCGGATGGGTGGATGGATGGAAAGATTAAATGGATGGACGATGGATGGATGGACGGACAGACAGATAGGCAGGCAGAAATAGACAGACAGACAGACAGATAGGCCGGCCGGCCCCTCGTGAGTGTTCTGCTCCACTTGCAGAATTTTTTTTCCCCCAAACCAGTGGCAAACTAGGCACGCACCCCGTGCAATTTTTTTTTTTTTTTGCATTTTAAAACAACAACAACAACAAAATTGCCCACTTCTTCAAACGCTCGATAAGGCATGCGGGCGAAAGGGACAATTGCATAGCTTTAACAGCCGGTTCCGAGTGCAAAGGGCGGCAACTCACGGGCCACACCCCCTCCGGGCTAAAAGCCAAGGTCACTTTTGTGAGTGTTCAAGACACAGTTATGGGCGTAGCATATCGGACAGAAGTGCATAAGGAAGAAGAAGACAAAAATTCTCCCGGAAACAAAGTGGGGTGTTTTTTTCCTCCGTTCCGTAATAAATGAAATAAAATCGACGCCAATGGGGCCGTGCAATCAAATGCCCCAAAGAAGAAGAAAAAACTCTTATTATAAAAATAATAATCATCATAATCATAATAAAGATCGCCCCACCACCCAATTCTCCCGAAACGAAGTTCCTCCAATTTAACCCTCTTTGGATAAATTCAAGTAACAGAAGGACGGAGTCGGGAGGGGACCTCAGAGGTCATCCAGTCCAACCCCCTGCCCGAGCAGGAGACCCTTACAGAATCATACAATAAAAGAGTTGGAAGGGACCTCGGAGGTCATCTAGTTCAACCCCCTGCCCGAGCTGCTGACCCTTAACAGAATCATAGAAGAACAGAACTGGAAGGGACCTCAGAGGTCATCTAGTCCCACCCCCTGCCCGAGCCGGAGTCCCTTACAGAATCATACATATACAGAGCTGGAAAGGGACCTTGGAGGTCATCTAGTCCAACCCCCTGCCCGAGCTACAGACCCTTAACAGAATCATAGAAGAGCAGAACTGGAAGGGACCTCAGAGGTCATCTAGTCCAACCCCCTCCCCGAGCTGCAGACCCTTACAGAATCATACAATAAAAGAGTTGGAAGGGACCTCGGTGGTCATCTAGTCTAACCCCCTGCCCAATCTGCAGACCCTTACAGAATCATACAATAAAAGACTTGGAAGGGACCTCGGCGGTCATCTAGTCCAACCCCCTGCCCGAGCTGCAGACCCTTACAGAATCATACAATAAAAGAGTTGGAAGGGACCTCGGAGGTCATCTAGTCCAACCCCCTGCTCAAGAAGGAGACCCTTACAGAATCATAGAACAGCAGAGTTGGAAGGGACCTCAGAGGTCATCTAGTCCCACCCCTACCCAAGCTGCAGACCCTTAACAGAATCATAGAAGAACAGAACTGGAAGGGACCTCGGAGGTCATCTAGTCCAACCCCCTGCCCGAGCCGGAGTCCCTTACAGAATCATACAATGACAAGAGCTGGAAAGGGACCTCGGAGGTCATCTAGTCCAACCCCCTGCTCGAGCCGGAGGCCGCGGCCTACCCCGTGTCCGACAGCGGCTTATTCTGGGCTCCAAAGTCGACCCCTTTCGAGACTTCTTTCTGCGTTAAGAACCGCCAAATTTTGGATCTGGCCAGGAAGGAAAACTGGATGGAAGCCGTCCTTCCCTCTCCCTGGCCTACAGATTTTAAGAGTAATCTAAAAATAAAAATAAAAATAAATAAATCTGTTTTTCATCGGCAACAAACCGCCGTTCGGTTTCCGCCTTGGGCTTTGCTGGGGGGGGGGGGGGAGGAACAAATAAATAAATAAATAAAAGGAAGGCTACGTTCTTTTTTTTTTTTTTTTCCCCCTTGGCAGCTGAATTTCCAAACGTGGAAAAAAAAGGAACGCTCCGTTCTTTTTTTTTTTTTTCCCCCTCTTTGCTGCTTTCGTCACCTCTCTTCTCTCCTTCCCTGTCTGGCCAATTTTCCTGTGGCACAAATAAAAAATTAAAATAATAATAATAATAAAAAACCAGAAAGCTTTTTAGGGGGTCAGCCATTCCCCTCCCTCAAGGGTCTGCAGCTGGGGTGGGGGGGTTGGACTAGATGACCTCTAAGCGCCCTTCCAACTCTTGTGATTCTATGATTCTGCCTTTTGGAAAAGCTTCGCAACGCAGTCGTGTGTTCGCTCCATCCTGAAGGCTGCCGGGACAGGGCTGGCATACAAATAAATCATATATTTTTTTTATGTAAAAAAGAAGAAGTAAGGCTGAAACATCCAGAGTAAACTGTGGGATGACAGCAGGAGGAGGAGGAGGAGGAGAAGGAGAGGAAGGGGGAGAAGAAGGAGGAGGAGGAGGAGGAGGAGGAGAAGAAGGAGGAGGAAGGACAGACTGTGGGGTCCCTGGTGCTCTTTGAACTTGGGATTTTTCCTTGCAGACGTCTCACGACCCAACTAGGGAACATCATCAGGACTAGAAGGCAGAAGGAGGAGAAGGAGGAGAAGGAGGAGGAGGAGGTGGTGGTGGAGGTGGTGGAGGAGGAGGAGGAGGAGGAGAAGAACTGTGGGGTCCCTGGTGCTCTCCGAACAGGACGTCTCATGACCCAACTAGGGAATATCATCAGTGCTGGAACGGAGGGCAAGAAGCAAACCAGGCTCCTTTCTGCCACTGAAGTTACATAGTTGGGTCGTGAAATGTCTGCAAGAAAACATTCTGTATGGTCTCCTGCATGAGGGGGTTGGACTAGATGACCTCCAGGATCCCTTCCAACTCGTGTTCTTCTGTGATTCTGTTAAGGGTCTCCTGCTTGAGGAGGGGGCTGGACTAGATGACCTACAAGGTCCCTTCCTGCTCCCTTATTCTGTAAGGGTCTCCTGCTGGAGCAGGGGGCTGGACTAGATGACCTACAAGTCCCCTTCCAACTCTTTTATTCTATCAGGGTCTCCGACTCGAGCAGCGGGTTGGACTAGATGACCTGCAGGGTCCCTTCCAACTGTTATTTTGTAAAGCAGTGGTTCTCAACCTTTTTAATGCCGCGACCCCCAACCGGTCGTAAGTCGAGGACTACTCAACCGGTCATAAGTCGAGGACTACTCAACTGGTGCAGCACCATTTGCGGAATGGGACTTTTGGCGGGCTCAGCAGGGCAGAGACAGCCTGGACAATTCCTATTGGCTTTGGAAAGCCAATAGAATTAGACTCCATTCAAGAGAGTCTCTTCTATTGGCTTTCAAAAGCCAATAGAATAAAAGGGAGGAGCACAGCTAAGGAAAAGGGGGGGGAAAATGGCGGACTGCGTTGTTTGGCGACCCCCGTGAAATGGTCATTCGACCCCAAATGGGGTCCCGACCCACAGGTGGAGAACCGCTGTTGTAGAGTCTCCTGCTTGAGGGGGTTGGACTAGATGACCTCCAGGGTCCCTTCCAACTCTGGCATTCCGTGATTCTGTCAGGGTCTCCTGCTTGAGCGGGGGGGGGGGTTGGACTAGATGACCTCCCGGGTCCCTCCCAACTTCCGTTCCTCTGAAATCCTATTTCCAGCCTCTTAAAAAACGCTTCTCGGAAGCCCTGAGGCAGAAGGCCGACGACTCACCCGGGCTCCACAGCTTATTTTATTTATTTTATTCTCTTCTCCCCCCCCTCCAAATTCTCTTTCAGCCCCACCCAGACGGGAGCTGTCAAATTCCATTTCTTTTCACGTCAATCTTTCAAAAAAAAAATCTCGGCCTCGCCCGTCTCGGCTTCAAGGCCCTTTTTTTTTTTCTGCACCCCTCGGCGAGCTGGAAATGTTAGGGAGATTTGAGCCTCGTTTGCAAAATAATAATAATAATAAAAAAACCACCCAAAAAACGAGTCCTAACCGGTCTCTACACGCCTAAGACACGGATGTGCCACGGATCTGCCACGTGGCTCAAGGCGGAAGAAGGGCGCCACCTTGAAGGCTCAGCCTGGGATAAATGACCTTTTCAAAGGCGTGTTTGCGGGCGGGCGGGCCTCGGGAAAAGCAAAATATTTAACTGTAAACAGTTAAACCAATGCAAACACTAATTAAACAGTTGTTTAACTGATTTACAAACAGTAGTTAAACAGTTGCTTAACCAATAGAAACACCAGTTAAACAGTTGTTTAACTGATTTACAAACACTAGTTAAACAGTTGTTTAACCAATTTACAAACACCAAACAGTTGTTTAACCAATTTACAAACACTGGTTAAACAGTTGTTTAACTGTAAAGTTTTTAACCAATGCAAACACTAATTAAACAGTTGTTTAACCAATTTACAAACACTAGCTAAACAATTGTTTAACCAATACAAACACTAGTTAAACAATTGTTTAACCAACTTACAAACACTAATTAAACAGTTGTTTAACCAATTTACACAAACACTGGTTAAACAGTTGTTTCACTGATTTACACAAACACTAGTTAAACAGCTGTTTAAACGATTTACGCAAACACTAATTAAACAGCGGTTTAACCGATTTACAAACACTAGTGAAACCGCTGTTTAATCAATTTACACAAACACTAGTTAAACAGCGGTTTAACCGATTTACACAAACACTAGTTAAACAGTTGCTTAACCAATGTACACAAACGCTAGTTATAAACAGGTTTAACCAATTTACAAACACGAGTTAAACTGCTGTTTAACCAATTTACACAAACACTAGTTAAACAGTTGCTTAACCAATTTAAACAAACACTTGTTTAACAGATTTACCGAAACAATAGTTAAACACTGGTTTAACCAATTTAACCACTTGACACAAACACTACTTACACACTTGTTTAAACGCAAAATCTAATGACGAGGCGAGGTGCGTTGAGAAAAGGAGAGGCGTTAAAACTGGGAATTCCCAAAAATCAGGAATTCCCAAAATTTCATTTCTGCCCTTTTTAAAAATAAATAAAAAATAATTCTTTATACTTTTTCTTAACCTTCACAACGATATTTTTAAAAAGGGCAGACATGAAACTTGCGGAATTAAGGAATTCCTTGTTTTCAGACCGAGTTACTCAACGTCGGCCATTTTTAAGAGGGGTGTGGACTTCAATTCCCAGAATTCCCCAGCCAGCCAGCCATGCTTGCTTGGGGAATTCTGGGCGTGGAAGTGGAATTCTGGGAGTTGAAGTCCACACATCTTCCAAGGTGGCCACGTTGAGAAGTGTCGCTTCGCGGCCGCGCTTCTCGTCCGCCATTTTCCTGAATGTCGCGACATTGTGCATCTTTTGAGCAAATCTTAAAAACACAACGATTATTGCGCAGTCCTGAATTCGTTTGAATTTAGCTTTTTTTTCCGGGGAGGCTCCCGTTTGCGTAATCCCGTGCAGAATCCCAACGCTCCCGTTTGTAATCCGTGCAGAACAAACCCACTCATTGCGCAAAGGCGTCGTCGCGTTCTGCAAATCCCTCCGTTGAGGGGTGGGGACAAAAAGGCACTTTTTGACCAACTGGTCCAGCAATCGCGTCGTTTTTTCCTCTTTCCTGTTGTTTTCAATCTAGAAATTTTGGCAAATGTTACCTCAAATGTTCTGTCACTCAGAATGATTTGGGGGGGGGGGACAGGTGTCCCAATTCGGTTCTATTTTTCGAACCTCCATTGTTGGTTCTTATCCGAAGGGTTACACGTCCTCATCTTTACGTCGGCCCGGCCCTCCGGAGTACGGTAGGCACTCAGACACTTGGCGGAGTGAGGGTGGAAGACAGTGCCGTCTTTTTTAAAATGCCAGATTAGGATTTCCGGCACGGGCGTCTTATCCTTCGGACAGTTCCTCATGCCGACGAAATCCTTCTGCTCCGGCACTTCGGCGCAGAGTTCGGTCACGGAATTGAAGCGGATCTCCAGGTTGGAGGTGTACTCGAAGAACTGGTTGCCCCCCTGGCCGTGGCATCCGAACAGGCTCACGTGGGCCCCGGTGGGATTGTGTTCCGGCGCGTTGTAATCCAAACATTCGGAGGTGATGCCCAGATTGCGAATGGCGCCGTGCCAGCCCGTCCGATCCTCGGGGACGTGTAAGTTCGGGAAGACGGTCTTCAGATACCAGTCGAAATCCTGACACTGTAGACGCTGCCGTAAGAGTTTGCGTTCGGTCAGGTCGCCAAAGTTCTCCTTGCGGGCCGGAGGATTGCGGTTGTAGAAGTGTTCTTTGTAGCCGTCCATCCAGACCTCGGCAGCCCGGGCGGTGTTCTGCAGGAAGTTAGGCCTGGCGTACGGGGCCCGTTTCGGAAAGACGTGCCCGACGTGGGAGCACGGGTGGATCTCCAAGACGCCGCCGCACTGCCAGACGCGGAAGGAGAGCTCCAGATTCTCGCCGCCCCAGACGTCCATCCCGGTGTCGTAGGTGCCGAGGTACTCAAAGTATTTCTTGCTGACGGCGAAGAGGCCTCCGGCCATGGTGGGCGAGCGGATGGGGTCGACTTTGGACCGTCGGCGACGCCTCTCGTCCTCGGGCACCACCTGCCACTGGAACGTCAGCCGCCAGTCGAAGCCGCCGATCATGGGCTCGCCGGACTGCATGTAGAACTCGAAAGTGTTCCAGTCGATGGTGTCGATCACTGGACAGATCACCACCGAGTCATTCTGGGCGATGCGCTCCAGCAGCGGCTCCAGCCAGCCCGGCACGCACTCGCAGTGGCAGTCCAGGAAAGTCAGCACCTCGCCGGTGGCGAAGGTGGCGCCGATGAGGCGGGCCCGCACCAGCCCTTCCCGCTTCTGGGTGCGGATCAGGCGCACGCGGGGCAGGCGGCTGAGGTAGGCCTCCAGCTGGCCCTTCAGGTAGGGCTGGTCGCTGAGGTCGTCCACCAGGATGACCTCTTTGAGGAGGACGGCCGGGCTGGTCTCCAAGACGCTGTGGACCGTCCGGAGCAAGGTGGACCAGGCTTCGTTGTAGAAGGCGATGACCACCGAGGTGGTGGGCAAGCGCCGGTAGGCGTAGCGCTTGGCCCGGCACTCGGCCATGCGACCGTCGTGGATGTGGCGGTGCAAGGAGAGGCGGTCGCTCAGGTGGATGTTGATGGCGTAGCGGTCCAGCAGGCGCTCCTGCTGACGCTTCTGCTCGGGGTCCAGGTTCAAGTAAGCCGCTTTGCCCCACTCCCCCGGCGCAGAGGGATCCGGAGGGGGTTTGCGCTGCACCGGCTGGTCCAGCTGCTCCAGGGCGGTGGGGGCTCTGGCCTGCGGGGTCCCGCCTCCCTTCGCCCCGGCGCCCGCGGGCGCCCCGAAGGGAGAGGAGGGCAACTGGAGAGCCAGCAAAGCCGCCGCGCTCAGCAGCCCCAGCAGCGCGCAAGCCCGGCGCAGCAGACGCGCACGCATGGCCGAGGAAGAAGAAGAAGAGGAGGAGGAGGAGAAGGCGCCGTAGCTGCGAGGACGAGCGGAGGAGGAGGAAGAGGAGGAGGAGGAGGAGAAGAGGAGGAGGAGGAGACTGCAGCGCCTCCCCCTCCGCCCGCCCGCCCGCCCAGCCTGGGGCGCGCCCGGCTGCTTTGGCTTGCTTTCGGTTGTTTGCAAGGAGCTTTGCGCTTTGCGCTTTGGCAATTGCCGCGAGCGCGATTGCGGAAAAAAAAAAGAAAAGCCGAGCGGTTTGGGGGGTCGGGAGGGAGAGAGGGGAGGGGTCTGGGGGGGAAGGAGGAGGAGGGGGTGCAGGCCAGGGGGGCGAGGGAAGGGGTGGTGGGGGGAGGAGAGGCTTGGGGAGCCTCGTTTTTTCTTTCTTTCTTTCTTTCTTTCTGTCTGTCTGTCTGTCTCTTCCTTCCTTCCTTCTTCTTTCTTTCTTTCTCTATCTGTGTGTCTGTCTTCCTTCCGTCTTTCTCTCTCTCTCTCTCTCTGTCTCTTTCTTTCTTCCATCCTTCCTTCCTCTTTCTTTCTTTCTTTCTTTCTTTCTTTCTTTCTCTGTGTGTCTGTCTTCCTTCCGTCTTTCTCTCTGTGTGTGTGTGTGTGTCTTCCTTCCTTTTTCTTTCTTTCTTTCTTTTCCTTCCTTTTTCTTTTTTCTTTCTCTGTGTGTCTGTCTTCCTTCCGTCTCTCTCTCTCTCTCTCTCTCTCAGTGTCTCTTCCTTCCTTCCTTCCTTCCTTCCTTCCTCTTTCTTTCTTTCTTTCTCTGTCTGTCTGTCTTCCTTCCGTCTTTCTCTCTCTCTCTCTCTGTGTCTCTTTCTTCCTTTCTTTCTTTCTTTTCTTTCTTTCTTTCTCTATCTGTGTCTGTCTTCCTTCCGTCTTTCTCTCTCTCTCTCTCTCTCTCTCAGTGTCCCTTCCTTCCTTCCTTCCTTCCTCTTTCTTTCTTTCTTTCTTTTTTCTTTCTCTGTCTGTCTGTCTTCCTTCCGTCTTTCTCTCTCTCTCTCTCTCTCTCTGTGTCTCTTTCTTCCTTTCTTTCTTTCTTTTCTTTCTTTCTTTCTCTATCTGTGTCTGTCTTCCGTCTTTCTCTCTCTCTCTCTCAGTGTCTCTTCCTTCCTTCCTTCCTTCCTTCCTCTTTCTTTCTTTCTTTCTTTCTCTGTCTGTCTGTCTTCCTTCCGTCTTTCTCTCTCTCTCTCTCTCTCTCTGTCTCTTTCTTCCTTTCTTTCTTTCTTTTCTTTCTTTCTCTATCTGTGTCTGTCTTCCTTCCGTCTTTCTCTCTCTCTCTCTCAGTATCTCTTCCTTCCTTCCTTCCTCTTTCTTTCTTTCTTTCTTTCTTTCTTTCTTTCTTTCTTTCTTTCTTTCTCTATCTGTGTGTCTGTCTTCCTTCCGTCTTTCTCTCTCTTTCTCTCTCTCAGTGTCCCTTCCTTCCTTCCTTCCTTCCTCTTTCTTTCTTCCTTCCTTTTTCTTTTTTCTTTCTTTCTCTGTGTGTCTGTCCTCCTTCCGTCTCTCTCTCTCTCTCTCTCTCAGTGTCTCTTCCTTCCTTCCTTCCTCTTTCTTTCTTTCTCTATCTGTGTCTGTCTTCCTTCTGTCTTTCTCTCAGTGTCTCTTCCTTCCTTCCTTCCTTCCTCTTTCTTTCTTTCTTTCTTTCTTTCTTTCTTTCTTTCTTTCTTTCTTTCTTTCTTTCTTTCTTTCTTTCTTTCTTTCTTTCTCTATCTGTGTCTGGCTTCCTTCTGTCTTTCTCTCTCTCTCTCTCTCTCTCTCTCTCAGTGTCTCTTTCTTCCTTCCTGGATTACGATCACAGGGAGGCCTGACTGAGGTAAATGTGTCTAGCAACTTTAAGACTGGTGGACTTCGACCTCCAGAATTCCTCAGGCAGCCGTGCTAGATGCCAAATTCTTTACAAGGAGAACTTTGGTTTCTGGGATAGATAATAAAAAGTTTGAAGCAAGAGCTGAGTTCGAATGGAGCCACTGCGAATTTGCCGAAAGGGGATTTCCCCCCCCCCCGCAAAATACCTCAAAATGCGGGACAATTTCTGTGAAATCCTATCTAAAATTTATTTCTGGAACTAGGATATGGCAAGTCCTCGACTTACGACGGTTCATTTAGTGACCGTTCCAAAGTGAGGAGGGCCCTGTAAAACTTGACTTAACGACCGTTGTTCAGACTTCACCCCCCTCACAGCATTTCCCGTGGTCCAAATTCAGACGCTTTTGGCCACTGACTCAGACTTACGACGGATGGCAGCGTTCACACGGGGAGGTCACGTAATCCTCTTTGGCAACCCGCTAACAACAACAACAACAACAACAATAATAATAATATAGTAATAAGTCTCTTCTTAAAAATTCCAAGTGTTGGAGCGTTCACAGCTTCTAGTGCAGCGGTTCTCAACCTATGGGTCGCGACCCCATTTGGGGTCGATCGACCTCTTTTGCGGGATCGCCAAACGCGGCGATCCGCCATTTTGTCCCCTCTGGGGGCACGCTGCGCCTCCGGGGGGGCGGTGCCGTGCACGCGCGCCGCGCGTGGGGGCGGCGCCGCGCCTCCAGGGGGCGGCACCGCGCATGCGTGCCGCGCATGGGGGCGGCGCCGCACCTCCGGGGGCGCCGCCGCGCATGTGCGCCGCGCATGGGGGGTGGCGCCGCGCATGCGCGCCGCACGCGGGGGCCCCACCCCCATGCGCGCCGCGCCGCGCATGCGCATAATGTTTGTGTGACGGGGGTCGCCGTCACACAAACGTTGAGAACCGCTGTTCTAGTGGCAAGTAGTTCCACTGATTAATTGTTCTCATTGTCAGGACATTTTTCCTTAGTTCTAGGTTGCTTCTTTCTAATAATAATAATAATAATAATAGTTGGGTGCAATCCCAAAACAACTGGAGCACCACTTGAACACCATTGGCATTGACAAATTTGCAAAAGGCGGCCTTATTAGGAACTGCTTCCATCCTGCGACGATACCTGTAATACCATCAAACATCCACATCTGCCTATCCCAGGTCCTGGGTAAGGACTTGATAGGTAGACAAAATGCCACATCCAGTCTGAACATCTGGCTGACTGTGCAATGATCCATCTCTCCAATAATAATAATAATGATGATGATGATGATGATGATGATGAAATAGTTGGGAGGGACCTTGGAGGTCATCTAGTCCAGCCCCCTGCTCAGACAGGAAACCCTGTACCATTTCAGACAAATGGCTGTCCAGTCTCTTCTTCAAAACTTCCAGTGTTGGAGCGTTCAAAGCTTCTGGTGGCAAGTAGTTCCCCTGGTTAATTGTTCTCACTGTCAGGAAATGTCTCCTTAGTTCTAGGTTCCTTCAATCTATTTTATTATTATATGATGATTATGATTATGATTCACCGCTTCTGGAGGCAGGCAGTTCCACTGGTTAATTGTTCTCACCGTCAGGAAATTTCTCCTTAGTTCTAGGTTGTTTCTCTCTAACAACAACAACAACAATAATAATAAAGTTGGAAGGGACCTTGGAGGTCATCTAGTCCAACCCCCTGCTCAGGCAGGAAACCCTATACCATTTCGGACAAATGGCTGTCCAGTCTCTTCTTAAAAACCTCCAGTGTTGGAGCCTTCACCGCTTCTGGAGGCAGGTTGTTCCACTGATTAATTGTCCTCACTGTCAGGAAGTTTATCCTTAGTTCTAGGTTGCTTCTCTCCATCATCATCATCATCATCATCATCATCAGTAGTAGTAGTACTAGTATTATTAGTATTAGTGTTATTAGTATTATTATTATTATTAGTAGTAGTAGTAGTAGTAATAGTAAAGTTGGAAGGGACCTTGGAGGTCATCTAGTCCAACCCCCTGCTCAAGCAGGAGACCCTATACCATTTCAGACAAATGGCAGTCCAGTCTCTTCTTCAAAACTTCCAGTGTTGGAGCATTCACTGCTTCTGGTGGCAAGTAGTTCCCCTGATTAATTGTCCTCACTGTCAGGAAGTTTATCCTTAGTTCTAGGTTGCTTCTCTCCTTGATTAGTTTCCACCCGTTGCTTCTTGTCCTGCCTTTAGGCGCTTTGGAAAATAGCTTGACTCCCTCTTCTTTATGGCAGCCCCTGAGATACTGGAAGGCTGCTATCCTGTCCCCCCCTTGTCCTTCTCTTCATTAAACTAGACATACCCAATTCCAGCAGCCTTTCCTTATATGTTTTAGCCTCCAGTCCCCTAATCATCTTTGTTGCTCTTCTCTGCACTCTTTCTAGAGTCTCAACACCTTTTTTACATCGTGGTGACCAAAACTGGATGCCGTATTCCAAGTGTGGCCTTACCAAGGCATTGAAGAGTGGTATTAACCCTTCACGTGATGTTGAGTCTATCCCTCTGTTAATGCAGCCTAGCACTGTGTTGGCCTTTTTGGCAGCTGCAGCACACTGCTGGCTCCTATTTAAGGGATGGTCTGCTACTACTCACAGTTATTACTACTGAGTAAGGTACCACCTATCCCATCCCTGTGCATTTGTTTTTTTTCTTACCTAAATGGAGAACCTTGCTTTTTTCCACCCTTGAGTTTCATTGTATTAGCTAGCGTCCTGTGTTCGAGTCTCTCAAAGATCTTTCCGGATCTTCAGCCGATCTTGGCTATTCCTACCCGCTTCGTGTCGTACGGGGAAGCCCGATTCGTTTTACGACGCTCTTCCTAACTGAAGGACAGCCAGGATTCCCTGAACAACGGCGGCAAGGAAGGTGGTCCCGGCGGGGGGGCCGCCTTGACTTCACCGTCGCTTCGCGACGGAAATTTCGGGCCCAGTTTCCCGTCGTAGGTCGAGGACCGCTTCAGCCTTGCCAGGCGCCTGCGAGAATTCGACGTGGCCGAAAAATAAATATGGACACTTCGAAAAATACTACGGGCCTGCTGAGAAATTTCCTCGGCGGCTGGCAAGCCGTTTCGTAGTTTGGACATTAGGTGTAGCGTGTGTGTGTGTATGTGTGTGTGTGTGTATGTGTGTGTGTATGTGTGTGTATTTTAATGACACAATGTGGGGAAAACAAAGCTCTTTCTTCCCAGAAGGAATAAGCCACAGATGTAATAAG